AATTGTCTTAAAAAAATCAGGTAATACATAATAAATATATTTGGATGAATGTTGAAAGTCACTGGTAGTTTGAGGTATTTTAGGTATATCTGTGGCAATTAGGCTCATTTGTTAGAACAAATTGGCACTAGACATAAAGCCTTTTTCTTTCCTCTTCATCCTTATGGTAACATATTAGAAAACAAGCACATACCACTAAAGCCAGTAGAGCAAAATCTTGACTTATCTTAGTCCAACTAATAAGAAATCTGGAAAATGTAATTGACTAAAAACTCATGTAAAACTTAAATTATTCCAATTACATTTTTATTTCAATTTTCAGGAAATCATGAATTATTATTACATAATAGCATTTTATATTAAGAGAAATATGCAGGCTGTGTCTAGTTATCATTCTTGATTCAGTGTCTTGTGGCCTTTGCACCTATTCCCCTGTGATCATTTAAAAATCCCAAGAATGGAAGTCATAAAATTCTGTTTCTAATTTGCTAAAAATGAAATCCCTTATCCTACCAAGAGTATTTATTAATATACATTCTAATACATAAAAATGATGTACATTCTAATTTGGGACATGTATATACTAATATAAATATTTTACCAAAGCAAAAATAGAAACTTTATTCCTCACATCAAAAGTATTTAAAAAAATAGTATTTATTAATGGCAAAACCCAAAAATATGGAAATGTGTAAAATACAACCTATTATCTTAATCCCTTACTAGGATTATAAATAATGTGACAATTTGACATATATTCTTCCAGCTTCCTCCAGTGTATTTATAAACATATGTACAATATATATAGATTTCTAAAAATCCTGAATGGGATAACACTAATCATACTCTTCTATAACCTGCTTTTTTATGCTCAACAATATATTGTAGACATCTGTCTATGTAAATATATAGGAACTATAAAATAATTTCCTGAATAAGCAAATCAAGAAATTAAAATAATTACATATGATATTTTATATTTCATAACTTTGATGAGTTTTAGATTATTAGCAATTTATTGGTAAGTTGAATGCTTTATTAATAAATTATTAAAAAATTTTTCTTGAAACTGTATTCATGATAATGAAAGAGGATTTAAAACTTTTCTAATTTTTGCTTATTTAAAAAAATATCAATTCAGTAGTTAAAAAAATTATTTATAGAGGTGTCCTGCACTTCAACAAATGTGTGTATGAGGTAATCTCTAATTATGTCTTATGATGATCTATAAAAAAGTATGTGTAATCTGATCATAAGTATGTGTAATCTGAAAGTCTTAAATAAAAATCTTCATGCCTCAGTGAAGGTCAAGGATTGCACTATAAGAGAAATGGAACTAAGACTTTAGAAATAAACTCACAAGGAGAGTTGCACAAGAATAGGAGTAACATTTTAAGAAATGTAGAATCATCTGAATGTTTGGTAATTATATGGTTTATGACTTTTTTTTCTTAGGGTTTCTGTGTGAGATAAAATAGAAATAAGGGTAGGCCAGCCTTGAGATTATTATGGCATATGGATTATATTGGATTAGAACAGCTCCTGTATTTTTCATATGTCTAACTAAAGATTTAATTTTGCAGGAGAGAGAAGCAGTGAGTCATCACCACTGTGACCCGGGATCATGTTCCTAAGTTCAGTAGTCAATGCTTATTGCTCATTTCGCTTGATCTTTTAGCATGATTTGAAACAGCTGTTATCTTTTCTGAACATTAGTGACTTTTAAATTTATTTTTTATCTTTGCCCAGCTTTACTGAGATATAATTGACACATGACATTGTTTAAGGTTAAGTTTAAGGTGTGTAATGTGTTGACCTGATACACATATATTACAAAATGATTACCACCATAATGTTAGCTGTTTGACACTCACATCACATCTCAAAATTGTCATTTCTTTTTTGTGATGACAGCATTTAAGATCTACTCTCTTAATAACTTTCAAGTATAGAATACATGACTCTTAAACTATGATCCCTATGTTATTCCCTAAAGCCCCAGAACTTAGTCAACTTATAATTGGAAGTTTGTGTTCTTTGACCAACATATCCCATCGTCTCCTATCTCCCAGTCCCTGGTGACCACCAGGCTAGTCTCTTAAAGCATGTTTTCTACTAAGATTTGAATGTACATGTAAAACAGTACTACTCTTCTCACTAATTTTTTTTGTTTTGGAAAATAGAACTCATTTTCATTAAAATAGTTATTTATGGTTACATATAAAGGGCTTGTTATTTTTTATTGAATAAATAAATAGTTCTCAGTTTTAATTTCTAATACTATAAATATGAATAGATATAGTTCACATAAACAAATCTTTTTGGGATCATCAATACTTTTTAAGAGTGGTTAAAAAAAAAGGAGGTTCAGAGACCAAAATCATTGAGAAGCAATTATAATATAAACTAGTCACAGGGATGAAAGTACAGCATAGAGAATATAGTCAATAATACTGTAATACCTTTTTATGTTGACAGTAACTACACTAGTTGGGGTGAGCATTTAATAATGTCGAATCACTATGTTGTATACTTGAAACCAATATAATATTGTATATCACCTATACTCTAATTAAATAATAATAATAATTTTAAAAAAGAACAAAATCATTGAGAAATGCTGCAGTAAATTAAAAAAAAATAGGTTAAACTAAGATAGTAGCATAAAGCAATAATTTTCACCTTAAACCTGGGGAGGGAACCCCAGAACAATAAAAATCAGAATACTTTCATTGCGATGGCAAAATTTCTAAAGTGTTAATCAAAATTAAGGATTTTGACTTAATATGTAAATTAAACTTAAAAAAGCTAACTCCAAACAGAAAATGTGAAATATAGAAAACCAATGAAAACATTGTTACAATAAAAAACAGATGGAGACCAGCCTTGAAAATTCCCTGAGCAGGCAAAATAAGTTGAATCATATAAATAAATTTTAGATTGGCTTATTTTGTAAGGCTTACCTGAGATGAGTCATTTCTTGCTTATGCCTCTGAAAATCATAAACAAAATTTAAACTGCTTCCCAAGGTTGATATGAGGTAACTACTGACCAATTTACTCTCATGTAGAAAAATTCTAACGTTACAGCCAGTCACTGTAAAAAGAAAACAGTCACTGCTTTCTTACTATATGAGCCGCTTTAGAACAATGTACCCCCTGAGCCTCTTTCCATGTTTTCATTTGATGCTCCTGGTTTGCAAGCTGTGTTTTAGGTGTGTGTGTGTGTGCAATAAATATTTAGTATTTACTTCTTCAGTGATTCATCAGTTTACTTCTGTTATTTCTGAACTTTTGATGATAATATACTCTTTTTTTCAATAGTGTCCCACTCCACCCATGTTTAAAAATTCTCTGAGGTAGTAATAGGAAAATCTATGTTTAAGTCTTTAGACGTAATTATAATTATGTCCTGGAAAAATTAAGTAAACAGAAAAAGGAAATCAAGCATAATCACTCAAAAATAAAAAAAGCAAGCAGAAAAATATTAGAAATGGATACATCCTTTAAAAAGGTCTTATGAATGATGAAAATAAATCCCAAAATACAAGTAAAAGTCAAGTTAACTATGTCTTTCAATGAAAATAAATGACAAAGAGAAATCAGGCAAATGATTAGTTTCACTAGGCAGAACAAAATACTGGAATTTAGAGAAAATGAATGCATTGCAAATTAATTCTATATGTAGTAAATTCTACTATGTACAAGACCCTTTGCTATGAACTTCAAGGAAGCCTGAGATGAATTTGAAAGACTGTTGTGGTCAAGACATTTATAGTTTAAAATAAAAAACATAAAATTAAGCATAATTTTTTTAATAATAAAATTTGTCATAGGATATAAAATAATGAGGAAAGTTTTTAATTCTTCAGAAGTTTTTAATTACATTGATATCTATATGTTTCAAGTGTAGACAAAAATAATCTGCGGCAACAACATTCATTCCTACCTCTGTTCCATCTTAGTCAGTTTAATTAAAATCTACTCATCATTCATTTATTTTCTCAACTAATCACTTGGCAATACATGAAATATCTATTGAATACATTCTATGTGCCCAGTACCATGTGAGGTGCTGAAAATAAAGGGATGAACAAAAAGCTCGAACTGGCCCTCATGAAACTTGGAGTCTAATGGTAGAAAGAAGGTAATAAACAAATAATATGGGTAAGCATACACTTTCAAAATTGCCCCTGAGTTCTGAATGAGCCGCAGAGATTCTGTGAAGACTAGGACAGCAAGGGTCACATCCAGTGGGGCTTCTGAGAAGGCTTGGTGAGAATGTGCTATTTGAGCAGGTCCTTCAAGGCTGGGCAGAAGAGAGGTAAAGGAGATCATGGATACGGTATTGAATTTACTGAATATATTGGAAAGAATTCGAGTGAGGAAGAGCGCAGCCAGATATCCACGGCTCGGTGAGTGAGGAGCACTCAGGAGATGGACGAGCCCGGGAGCTGCTGGGCTTTGTTTGCTTTGATAAAGTTATGGTTTATTTTGTTCTTAAAAAGCAAGTAGAAGAGGAATGGTCCAAAAGTTTTATCAGGGGCGTAAGGATACCGGTTCTAATTCTCAGGTATCAGGTCTGTGAAAGACTGAAAAGACACAGCTGGAGGTACGGTGGCGCTGACTCTAGTGGGACCTCCAGCGCCAGGGAGATTAATCAGCCGGGGGCCTCCGCTGCTCGGGCACCAGGCCTGCTCCCCACAGCTGCTCCCAGCCCTGCCAGCGCAGCACGAACACTAAGGCAAGGCAGCTCCAGGGAGGCATTGGACTGCTTTGACTGACAGCTGGTTTGGGCGGGAGGACTCCCTGATGGCCTTGCCTTCCCACCCTGAGCCTGCAGGACAGGCTAGTGCGCTTCCCTTCCTCCCTCCTCCGTGCCAGGGCAGACCCACATCACAGCCCCCAGGCTCTTCCAGCCTCTGCCTGCTCCTTCCCCATTTTCTCTCACACAGGCATTGCGCTCAGAAAATCTTGTACCTTTAATCCCATTATAGGTCTGCTTCTCAGAAGAAAACAGACTAACGTGAGGACAGACTCCAGGAGAAGAGCTTCAGTTCAGAAAAGAACTGCGGAAACTGCACAAAGTTCAGGCTAAAGGGGGTCTGCTGATTCTAGCTTGGCATTTCTCTACGGCAGTGAGGGAAGCGTTGAGAATCACATTATTTTCTGAAAACGGCACCTTTTGAATCAGTTTTTAAAAGGTCATTTGTTCACATATTGACACTTATTAAGAATTAAAGATGTCATAAGAGAAGATACTATGAAACGTGAGTAAAAAAGAATAAAAAGTGTATGCCTTCTTTTTATATTCCCATCATTGACAAGTCCTCCCCTTCTTCACCAGGCACCACACCTAAACTCATTCTTTCCCTTCCTTTAAGGTGCAGATAAATCTCATACCCAAGTCTCTCTCAATGCTGTTGTTTGGGGTTTTGCTATCAGATCTCAAGTCCATTAACATGTGGGCTCAGGACCAGAACTAGGATGAGGCAAAACTGGAGTGCAAAGCCTAAGGTGCGAGTCTCCCAGCATACACCCTGCGCTTCCAGGGTCCTGAGAGTGAGGGGCCTCCTCACCTCCCTCACCCTAGCCCTGGCCCTGTATGGGCTGTGCAAAGACTCAGAGAGAGGAACAGAAGTTATTTGTAAAAACTTTCCAGCTAAGGAATGAAGCCAATCCAAAGACTTCAGTCCTCTGTTCAGGTCCCAGGAGACAGACCCTCAGGGTCCCTCACTGATGGCTAGAGCTGGGCGAATTATGCTCAGTGTTACTCTTTTCTTCAGCCATCAATAATTTTATGTAAATAAATTCCAATGGATATGTAAAAAACGTTCATTTTTTGCCCAGCAGTGTAGAGAAATTGGAAATAATTCTTTAATAGGAGCCTCAGTGTTTTTTATTTTATTTTGGTATCATTAATCTACAATTACATGAGGAACATTATGTTTACTAGACTTCCCCCATCACCAAGTCCCCCCCACAAACCCCATTACAGTCACTGTCCATCAGCGTAGTAAGATGCTATAGAATCAGTACTTGTCTTCTCTGTGTTGCACAGTCCTTGACCCCCCATGCACACATTATACATGCTAATCATAATGCCCCCTTTCTTCCCCCCCCTTTATCCCTCCCTTCCCACCATCTTCCCCAGTTCCTTTCCCTTTGGTAACTGGTAGTCCATTCTTGGGTTCTGTGTTTCTGCTGCCGTTTTGTTCCTTCAGTTTTTTCTTTGTTCTTATACTCTGCAGGTGAGTGAAATCATTTGGTACTTGTCTTTCTCTGCCTGGCTTATTTCACTGAGCATAATACCCTCTAGCTCCATCCATGTTGTTGCAAATGGTAGGATTTGTTTTCTTCTTATGGCTGAATAATATTCCATTGTGTATATGTACCACATCTTCTATATCCATTCATCTACTGATGGACACTTAGGTTGCTTCCATTTCTTGGCTATTGTAAACAGTGCTGTGATAAACATAGGGGTGCATATGTCTTTTTCAAACTGAGCTGCTGCATTCTTAGGGTAAATTCCTAGAAGTAGAATTCCTGGGTCAAATGGTGTGTCTATTTTGAGCTTTTTGGGGAACCTCCATACTGCTTTCCACAATGGTTGAACTAATTTATGTTCCCACCAGCAGTGTAGGAGGATTCCCCTTTCTCCACAACTCACCAACATTTGTTGTTGTTTGTCTTTTAGATGGTGGAAATCCTTACTAGTGTGAAGTGATATCTCATTGTGGTTTTAATTTGCATTTCTCTGATGACTAGCAATGTGGAGCATCTTTTCATGTGTCTGTTGGCCTTCTGAATTTCCTCTTTGGAGAATTGTCTGTTCAGCTACTCTGCTCATTTTTTAATTGGATTATTTGCTTTTTGTTTGTTGAGGTGCATGAGCTCTTTATATATTTTGGATGTCAACCCTTTATAGGATCTTTCATTTATGAATATGTTCTCCCATACTGTAGGATGCCTTTTTTTTCTATTGGTGGTGTTCTTTGCTGTACAGATGCTTTTCAGCTTGATATAGTCCCACTTGTTCATTTTTGCTTTTGTTTCCCTTGCCCAGCAAGATATGTTCATGAAGACATCATTCATGTTTTACGTCCAAGAGATTTTTGCCTATGTTTTTTTCTAAGAGGTTTATGGTTTCATGACTTACATTCAGGTCTTTGATCCATTTCAAATTTACTTTTGTGTATGGGGTTAGACAGTGATCCAGTTTCATTCTCTTACTTGTAGCTGTCCAGTTTTGCCAATACCAGCTGTTGAAGAGGCTGTCATTTCCCCATTGTATGTCCCCCTTTATCAAATATTAGTTGACCATATATGTTTGGGTTAATTTCTGGAGACTCTATTCTGTTCCACTGGTCTGTGGCTCTTTTCTTCTCCCAGTACCAAATTGTCTTGATTACTGTGGTTTTGTAGTAGAGCTTGAAGTTGGGGAGCGATATCCCCCCTCACTTCATTCTGCCTTTTCAGGATTGCTTTGGCTATTCAGGGTCTTTGGTGGTTCCATATGAATTTTTGAGCTATTTGTTCCAGTTGGTTGAAAAATGCTGTTGGTATTTTGATAGGGATTGCATTGAATCTTTAGATTGCTTTAGGCAGGATGGCCATTTTGACAATATTAATTCTTCCTAGCCAAGAGCATGGGATGAGTTTCCATTTGTTAGTGTCCTCTTTAATTTCTCATAAGAGTGTCTTGCTCAGTGTTTTTTTAACTCTGAAAATTAGTACAGCCATGTCTTATCTCACACCACCTGCTTTCCTGAGTTGTTCATCTCTGCCAGTGGTTTCTGTTCTCCAATACAAGAGTACTGAAGATGATTGTTCAAAGGTTCTCAGGATTGTTCTGTTGGGTAATATAAATATAAGCACTGTATACTGATTTGGAATCATTTGAAAAATTGCAATATCAATATATTTAATAGAAAAAACAGCTGAAGGGCATGTTGGGGAGTAACTAGAAAGTTAACAAAGGTAATGAGGTCATAGTGAAAAAAATGAGGAAAATCCAACTAGGTGTGAGTATTTTTCAATGGGACTAAAAATTTTGAATTCACCTTCAGGTTGGTAAGGAATTGTATCTCCTAGTTGTCTGCAGCATTTGGAATTGGTTTCAGTAGTTAAGATAAATCAGAATAATAATAGTTCAGCTACATTTGATGGTCCAGCGCTTCTGTAGACCTATACTGAGTATCATACTGTATATGGGAAACTTCTTAGATATGTTCATTTCATAGATGTTCACAATTTTAATTTAAATTTAAAAAAATTTAATTTTAAATTTAAAAAAAAAGAAAAAGGTGCAGAAGAATACTGACATGGGTTCCCCAAGTGAGGACATCAAAAAATCAGCTATCATTTATTACCACAATCATTTAACTCTCCAAGAATAAGAATGGCAAAATCCCAGATGATCTCCTCCCAGGAAAGGAAGACTTTCTCACACACATACACATGCGCACATACACATATACACACATGCTCTTTACATTGTCCTTATTATTTTATCTTTTCGATATAGGCTACTTAAATCTTTGCCATGGACTGGTCCTCTGATAAATATTTGGGAACCACAGATTTTCCAATCTACCTTATAAAAAGCAAGAAGTTAAGATACTCTAAATATGTATGTCTGTTTCACTCCTCACAATCTTATAGTGGGTATTTAAAAAAAATATAGTACTCTGACTGCAGAGAATTTTTTGAAAAACACATGCCAAATACCACCTTCTTAAATACATTTATTTTACTTCTATAGTCTCTTTAGACTAAAACTTTCCTTTTGCCAAAGGCCAAATAACATATTCCCATGTTCCTTGAATAATTACTTTATGGATAAAATTTGCAAATATTTATTTTGAGAAGAATGGAGGCAGAAGATCCTTGTTCTAAGATCAATGCCCCTTCTAGTGGAACACTAGACACAAAAGGTTTCTATGACCACTTTTGTACAGTTCAGATGTCAATAACATGACCCATAAGGTGAACTGTAGCATAAAGTATAGAGGAACCTCAACAGTCATCATTCAAACCGGGTTGTTTACAGTTCTCTTCTTCAACACACCTGGTACTCCAGATGAAATTCTGCTGCTCTGCAAAGGGCCCTAATTTGCATGGACTTTCAGCGACCTATCTGTAAGCACACAACAAGGATCCACCTGCTTTAAAGGTTGGCCCTCTGTATATATGTCAGTGTTTATTGCAGGGAAGTGTAATAAAGCAAGATAGCATAGATAAAAATTGCAGACATTAGGGGCGGAGCCAGGATGGCGGCATGAGTAGAGCAGCGGAAATCTCCTCCCAAAACCACATATATCTATGAAAATATAACAAAGACAACTCTTCCTAAAATGGAGACCAGAGGACACAGGACAACATCCAGACCACATCCACACCTGTGAGAACCCAGCGGCTCGCGAAGGGGGTAAGATACAAGCCCCGGCCCAGCGGGACCCGAGCGCCCCTCCCCCCGGCTCCCGGTGGCAGGACCGGTGAGCGGGTGCCTGAGGCCCACACCGGAGAACAAAGAAATGGGAGCGGTTTTTTTTTTCTTTTTTTGGCGAGTGCTTTTTGGAAGCCTTGAAGGGACAGGGACCCCAATACTAGGGAAACAGGGCAGCAAGACCGGTGAGTGGGTGCCTGAGACCGGCGCCTCAGGACAAAGAAAATCACGCGTTTTTCCTTTTTTTT